TGGTTAAAATGTCTGGTTTTCTCACCGAACTGTGAGTTACTTAAGTGCAAAAATCATGTCTGGATCATCTTTGTTTCCCTGGTGCCTAGGGCAGGCCTTGTGGCAGCAGAGATGCTCAGTAAGTGTTTGGTAAGTGAAAGAATGCTGGAGCTGGAAGGGGTCCTTGGGATCTGCTATCCTAACTTCTTTATTTTACTGAGGAGGAGAAACGATATGCCTAAAGGTGAAAGGATTTATTGGTGGCAGAGCCAGAACATCTGATACTTCACCCAGTGCTCATTCCCCTTCTCTGTTTTGCTGGAGGGAATCAGTGTGGAGCTTCAACAGAGGACAGACAGCCTGAGGCAGAGCTGATTCCCTCCACATCAGGCAGTGCCACCAGATGGGCAGACAGTGAAGTGGAACAAGAAGCGGAACTCTTAAGTTCTGGGTCCTGACAACAAGCCAAGAGGCTGTTAAAGGTGATGGCCCCACTGGAAAGGATCTTTTCCTCTGGCAGGGGTGGTGGGGAACTTAAGGACTCATTTGATGACGGCTGGTTAACACTGATAACTGAGCACAGACTTGGAGATAGGGGCAAGGAGGATTCACTAAAGTAGGTGTGAAGGAGGCTGAGAGAGGCCCCAGGGAAAGTATTAGGTTTTGTTAAAGCCCAAGTGTTTCTGAAATGAGAGCACCAGTGACTGAAAAGGAAGTGGTATTATGACTATAAGGAGAAGGAAGGTAGCCAGGAGGAGGTGGCTCATAAGTGAAGCTCTAAAAAATCAGACACATTAGGAAATTAAGAGTCGGGGAAGGGGATCAGCAAAGGGTAGACCAAAAAGTAAAGCACCACAACTCCCAAAAGAAAACCTACAGTGGTTTTGGAGATTTGTCAGTGCATCCAATCCAAAAACATACTAAACCACATGCAGGGCATTGTAGCAAAGGAGATGGAGATAAAAAAAGACACAGGCCTGGCCTTCATCTGCCTTGGTCTAGTAAGTGAGACTGGACCCAAATCCAGAGAACAGGAAAGACTTCAGAAGGAAGGTGGCATGAGGCTGGGGACTGACAGGTAAAAAGAACTCCACCAGCATGAGAAATGGTCTTAAAGGGAAAAGACAGGCTGAATGAACTGCGAGAATAAAGGCACCAAGGTGGGAACACAGTGTAGCTGGAGTATTAGGGCTCCAATAGGGGGAAAAAGTAGGCGAGGGTCAGACTAGAGCAACTCTAAAACCAGTTAAAAACATTAGTATGGTTAGGATTTTTTTTTTTTAAATGAGTGAGCACTGAGTGTTTCTGAAGTTAATAACAGAGACTATTTTATAAAAAGTACCTACTCTGTAGAAGTACATATGTCCTAATCCTTATAAATCCTTAGGAGGTAGGTGGCAACACCCCCATTTCCAGATGAGGAAAAAGAACTTCAGAACAGTCAGTAATTTGCCCTGGATCACATACCTATTAAACGGCAGGGCTGGTCCCAAGATCCTGACTCCAATATTCATGCCCTTCCCTTGCAACCTCTCTTAGCTGGGGGTTCTCCTTTGAAGCATATACAAAAAAATATTTGACTAGTGATTTTCTCAATGCTTCCAAAGGTGTATATATATAGCTAGTACCATTTTAGATGCCTGGAAGAGATGTTAATTCCTGTGTACAATGGATGCCTTGGAGAATGAGGGCTCAATTCTCTGGAAGAACCCTGGTCAAGAAAAACTGCCATGATTACAGATATGTTTTAGGAAGAAGGATCTGCCAGTGGGATCACATTCCTGAAAGGACCTGGTTGTCAAAGCAACTTAACGGTCCTGGAAATATCAAGATGAGTCATCTTCAGGAACTTGAAGTATGAGACTCCAGCCACCTTCCCTGATCACTCCTCTTTCTAGTCCTACTGCCTCTTCCCCACCTTCCTCCCTCCCTCCAACCACACCTGCATTCAAGTGCTGAAGCAGAGCCTTCCTGCTGATAAGCCATCAACACAGGCAAAAGCAGCATCTTTCAAGGTAAAAAACACGAGGGTCTCTGTACTTTTCTGTGGTGGTTGAGAGTAGAAGACTGGCACTAGTTAACTCAAAACCCTTCTGGAGAACTCGAGCAAACTCCCATTATCCTTCCTGATAAGGCTTAAGCACGCCCTCCTCTGGGAAGCTTTCTGTAACTGATTCCACCTCTCTGATTACCAGGCAGAATACAGCATTTCCCCCTGTTCGTCCCCAGAGTCCCTTGTCCAGTCGCCTGTCAGAGCACCTACCCCATTATCATGGCCTGTTTCCACATCTGTCTCCTCTGACAGTGTGAGAGCCTCTCAGGGTCAGTGACAGTTTGCCTGATCTGTCTTAGGATCCCCTGAGGCCCATGGTCTCAGAGATGGCAAGTGTCTTGCCGAGGGTCACTTGACAGGGCTGAGATTTAAACCCAGGTCTGACTTCAAAGCTTGTTTCTTTTTCACTATGCCACAGCATCTCCTGAAAATGAGGCGATGTTAAGCAGTCTATGCTAAGCTGTACAATGCTATACAAGTTTGGAGGAGGAAGTATCAGAGTAGACCAGACGACCAAGAAAGGCTTCCTAAGAGAGGGAGGCCTTGAAGAGTCTGAGGATTCAGATAAGAAAAGAGGGAACATGACGGCACTTTAGGCAGGATAGGAATGTTGTAGGTAGAGACAAAATTAAGAGGCCTTAAAGGTTCCATATTGGGGAGGAATGGAATTACAGCTGCCAGAATGAGAGTTTGAGTTCTTTACACATGTCACAACGATAACTACTTATAACAGGGCACCTACCATGTGCCTGCCAGGGGCTTTCATAAAAAATACCACCAATCCTCATGCTATCCTTGTGAAACAGGTGTTATTTTAGATGTACGAAAACTGAGGCTTAGAGAATTAAGGAAACACGTCCAAGGCAACACAGCTAATAGGTGGGTGACCTGGGACTCAAACCTAGGTTGGCATGATTCTGAAGCCTAAGGTTCCCTTTCTATTACTCCATGCCACCTTCTAATTGGGCCAGAGAGCTTTCCACGTTATCAGCCTGATGCTTCTGTCTGAACCTCCTCCCAGCTCAAACGGGGACTTCTGGTCAAACAGCAAGAGCAGCTGACTCTTCTAGCTCTAACCCTCTAAGGTCTGGGGACCCTAAATCCCAGAGGACTAAGTAATTTCAAGGAAACTGTTCTGTGTGGGCCCTGTGAGCACAGGCTGGCCTCTGTATTTAGGCCTGCTTTGGATCTCACAGAATCTCCCTTTAGTTACTGCAGCAAGGCTGGTGGCAAGCACAGCCTAAGAAAACCAGATGGGGCTGGGCGCGGTGGCTCATGCCTGTAATCCCAGCACTTTGGGAGGCCCAGGCGGGCGGATCACCTGAGGTTGGGAGTTTGAGACCAGCCTGACCAACATGGAGAAACCCCACATCCACTAAAAAAATACAAAATTAGCTGGGTGTGGTGGCACACGCCTGTAATCTCAGCTACTTGGGAGGCTGGAGGTAAGAGAATCGCTTGAAGGTGGAGATTGCAGTGAGCTGAAGATTGTGCCACCGCACTCCAGCCTGGGCAATAAGAGCGAAACTCTGTCTCAAAAAAAAAAAAAAAAAAGAAAAAAAAAAAGCCAGCCGGATGGGCAGGAAGGTAGGCTCCCTTGCCTTTCCTGAAACCCTTTGGAGAGGGTCAGCTGAGGTCAAAAGACTCTGGAAATATTACTGGCAACAGCCCCTAGAATGATAGAGCAGGATCCTGCCTCTCGGTTGGCTGGTCACACACACAGGCAGACGAAGGGAGGTCAGGGGGAAGGGAGGTCAGAAGTTGGCAGCCTCCGGCCCTGAGTGATGGCAACTTGTTCAGGGTTGGGAGGGAGAAATAGTGGGTTAACGGTTTTGGCCCTTGAGGCTGGGAGGCTAGGGCAGGGGGTGTAAATGGATGCTGGCTAAAAAGGCAGGTGGGAGAAATGTAAAGGTGGGGGCTAAGGGCATCTGTTCCAAGTCAACAGGCAGGAACCATGGCCCTGGAACGGCTCAAAGGGCCAGCCTTGGCCTGGGGGGTGAGGACAGAGGGAGTTTCATAAAAGGCCCTTGTCTTTTCATTTCAAAGGTGTTCGATCTAGAAGGCTAGGAAGAGGGGCTCCTTATAAAGTGAATTCTCTGTCTGGGGGTTGGGGGAAGCAGAGAATGTAAACTACTGGACAATAGCTGGGAGTATTGATTGATTTTAAGGCACGGCAGAGAGAATGTCCTTGGTGAACACTCCAAATCTTAGCTACAAATGTCTTGCCACAGAGCTTTCCAATGGACAAAGGAAGAAGCATTCTGCTTGGGGACGTTTTCTAAGTCTCTGCTTCTGAGAGCAGCAAGTTCTTGCTGCAGAAGCATCAGTCATCCCAAGCACTGCTGCCACATCCACAAGTAGTCCTGCCCTTCAGTGGCTGTGCCCCAGACCAAAGCATATGCTGGCTGCTCTGGGGCAGGTCCCTTGTAGGCTTGGGGATACAGGCCAGGCCTGGGTTTTAAGCTAGCATGGCTGTGGCTGACAGAAAGTGGCAAGATTACATGTTCCTGGGAAGTCCCCAGAAGCCAATCAGAAGATGATCTGGGGATGCTGGGCCTGCGGAGGCAAAAGCTCTGGGACTAAAAGAACTTTCTTTGAAGACTGGTATTTGGAAAAGTGATTAGGTAGCAAAAGACAGTTGGCATAAGTTACAAAGAAGACCACAGCTCATTAAAAAGATGTTTCAACCACGCCAGGCGCAGTGGCTCATGCCTGTAAACTCAGCACTTTGGGAGGCTGAGGTGGGTGGATCACCTGAGGTTGGGAGTTCAAGACCAACGTGGAGAAACCCTGTCTCTACTAAAAATACAAAATTAGCCAAGTGTGGTGGCACATGCCTGTAATCCCAGCTACTTGGGAGACTGAGGTAGGAGAATTGCTTGAACCCGGGAGGCGGAGGTTGTGGTGAGCCGAGATTGTGCCATTGCACTCCAGCCTGGGCAACAAAAGCAAAACTCCATGTTTCAAAAATAAATAAATAAATAAATAAAAAATAAAAGATGTTTCAACCAGTCAAGGATGAAGTAAAATGGGATTAACTCTCTGGGGAAGAAGGAGGGTTCCTTCTGTCTCTGAAAAATGTCAGCTAGCCAGCTGTTGGAGAGGGTTCTGCTGGCAGAGAGGCAGGCAATCATCAGAGTGGCCCAGAGACCTCTGAGGACCTTTCCAGTGCTCAGGTTCAATGAAGAATGATCCCAACAAGGAAGACCCTGGGGTCTAGCCCCAAGAGAGGATCCCTGGCCCTCAAAAAGCAGCAGAGGGGGCATGAACAGGCAGTCATGTACTATGCACTCACTCAGGGGTCTGTGCCCACACATCCTGGCAAGTTGCTTCCCACCCCCTCCCAAGGAGAGGCCGGCGTGGGACACGGGGAAGTGGGAAACAAAGTGACTGGGATGTGTCTGGAAGGTAACACACTTGCCCAGCCTGAGTCTGGGGATGGCATATATTGTCGCTCCAATTAACTGATGTTCTCCAAAGAGAGGGTATTCATTATTCAACAAATATTTATTCAGTGATTACTAAGTGCCAAGTACTATAGTAGATGCTGGGGACACTTGAACCAGTCAGCCATGGTTCTCGCCTTTTAGAAGCTCAGAGACAAGTTAGGGAGAAGACTATTGAACAAACAAAAACAATTTCAGGTTGTGACAAGTGTAATGACAGAAAAGAATAGGGTGCCATGACCCAGAGTAATGAAAGGGGCCTGAGACTGGGGTGGGACCAAAGAAGGTGTCTTTGTGACCTGGGTTAGTAGGGATTTAAAGAGCCTCTCCTTTGTTTCATTAGCTCTGCTTTGGAGGTCACGGGGGAGAAGAGAGAACACTTTTAGGGGTAGCAGCAATCCAGAAAACTCTCACAGCATACACAGACAGGCAGGATGGCATGGTGCATCACACACACATGTAGGCAGAGAACACACATCAGCCACAGGAGGGCAAACCACATGTGTGCACTGCCATTCTCAGCAAGCAAAGTTGCTCTCGAGGCATCCCCAGCTCTGGGAGGATAACAGGGCTCTGGGGAAGTATGTTATTTCCAGAATAGAGAGGCTGCCAAGTACTCTCTCCCCCTGCCAAACCCCACTCCACTCCTCCTCCACCTCCCCCACCCCACCCTTCCTCCACCTCTGTTCTCACCTCCATCAAGCAGCTCCTTGACAGTGCGGTAGTCATCAGCAAGGACAGCATAGTGCAAGGCCGTGCAGCCCTTGAAACTGGCGCGGTTGTTCAGCCGGTTGTTGAAGTCATCCTCTCGGGTGATCAGGACTGGGGAGACAGCAACACAAACCCTTCCATTAGCAATGACAGCATGAGTCACCAATCTCACCTGTTTTCTCGTGGCATTTTAATTCACTCACTCACTCACTCATCTACCTACTCACTAAGCATAAAATGGCACCTACTATGTTCCTGGCCATCTGTGCTGGGTAAGAAGAGGCAAAACAGAGGCCAGTTAGTTCCACAGTGTTTACTGACATCTGTTATGTGTTAGGATTCATCCTGGGGACATGAAATAGATCAGATAAGGTCCCTGACCTAACTGATGAGGGAGGCAGACAATAACCAGATGTTTATAGAACTGTTTGAGATAAATGCTCTGTTACAGGTATAACAGAAAAATATACCAGAATGCCACAGGAGAGTTTAGCTCAACTTGGACATGAGGAGAGGATCCCAGAAGACAGGAGTCTTAAAGGATGAAGAGAAGTTATGCAGGTAAAGAAAACAGGTTGGGGTAGGATAAGGGAAGAGTGGGGCAGCAGACAGAGGCTGTTTTAGCAGAAGATTAATACACCTCTCTGCTCTGAAAATGTTTACATTCTAGTAAGTAAGTGGTTTTAATTTTTTAAAACTTAAAAAATTTATAAAAGCAATTAAATTTTTAAAATCATAGAAAAGTACAAAGAAGAAAAGGGACTGATATCTCAGTGACTTGAGAAACTACATGTCAGATTTTGATATATGTTCTTCCAAATTTCATGTGTGTGTGTATCCCCTACAAAATTGGAATTTACTGTAAATGCAATTTTGTAATCTGCATTTTTACCCTTAATAATTACCTGTAAACATTTTTTTTGAAAGAAGAACAAGCGTTTCATGTGGTCAAAGAACCAAAATCCCCCAGGCTCACTCTAGTGCTAATATTTGTGATTTTCTCACTCTGATTTGATATAAAATAATATAAAACCAGTCCATCACTTTTCCAAGACTCTCTGGGTTGGGTGACTTCACACACCCTGTTTACCCAGGGTGGTCCTGGTTTTCGTCTGTTGTTATAGACAGTTCCAGTTTGGACAATAAATTAGAACATTACCCCACCTCTGGGGCCCTCCCTTGGGAAATGAGACCCCACAGAGCACTCTCTCCCCTGCTCAGGCGACGGAGCTTCTTTCTAGCCCCCACGTGGAAGTTATCCAGGCAACTGTCTTACATTCCCTCCTGAGCTGAGTTTGTGGGGGTAGAATTTGGGTCCTGACTACCTGTACTTCTCTTCTCCTTGAGTCCACAGCACAGGATCTGCAGAGGACAGGTTCCTCTTACCTCTCACTGGATAAAGGGGTACACTCAGTCAAGAGGCGACCTTACCAATGTAGTCAAAAGTACCAGACAATTCCTAAACCATTCTTTTTCAAGTGGTCTTGGAATGGAGTCTATGCTTCTCCCCACTGCACAATACTCAACATCCCATACAAAGTTCCAAAAGCCAGAAGACTGCCATGCCTCTTCCTAATACTAATAGATTTTTTTTTTAAATGGAGTTTTGATCTGTCACCCAGGCTGGAGGGCAGTGGCACCATCTGGCTTACTGCAACCCCTACCTGAGTTCAAGCGTTTTTCTGCCTTAGCCTCCTGAGTAGCTGGGATTACAGGTACCTGACACGACACCCGGCTAATTTTTGTATTTTTAGTAGAGATGGGGTTTCGCCATGTTGGCCAGGCTCGTCTCGAAATCCTGACCTCAAGTGATCTACTCGCCTCAGCCTCCCAAAGAGCCGGGATTACAGGCATGAGCCACTGCACCTGGCCACTAATAGATTTCACTCACTGACCTTCTACTCTATACCTGACATGGTCACTTGACACAGTTAATCTTACTTAATTCTCATAATTACCTTACATAGTAGGTAATTATTATTCCCATTTTATAGATGAGGAAATGGAGGCTCAGAGGTCACATAGCTAATAAGTGGTTGTCCTCACTCTTTCTCACATATCATAATGTCACCCTCAGTTTCCAAATGAGGAAATCAGAGACCAAGAAAGAAGTAGAGCCCAGATATCCTGGTCCCAGCCTTGGCTCTTATTCCATCCTGTTTTCCTGTTTGGGTGAAGGTGCAAACACAGTCTCTGCAGAATTTGCCCTTAATAGAAAATGGTCTAAGGTTTGTAGCTAGCACTCAAATAAGCTAGTGTGGATGGAAGCATTTCAAATATTTGGCCAAAATAAAGTTGGTGGAATGTGCAGCTGGAAAACAGACAACAGTTTCTTGTGGTTTATAGAATCAGTGGTCAATGAGCCTTCTACTCCTGCCATGGCCTCTCCAGACTGATGAACCCCCTGCTCCTGCCCCAGGGGTGTTATCTGACCTTTCCTGGAGCAGGAAGAACAGGAAGTTAAAAGGCCTCTAACATACAAGTCCCATGTGCAATGGCATCTACACTTTTCCCATAAGAGATCCCTTTAGGACCTCAGTCAGATATTACTAGCCCTTAGTTACAGTCTTATCAAATCATGCTAGGTGATCTTATTTCCAGTCCACTGCAGATTGGGAGAAGGAAATAAGAAGGCCAGGGAGGATGCTACAGAACCAAGCAGATTGATTACAATCAAGCATTGGCCAGGCAGGCAGGGAAAAGAACAGGACAATGAAAAGCTGAAAAAGGAATTCAGAGTACAGCACCTCAAAAGCCCCTAAGGGCATCACTGAACTGCCACATAGGACATTAACTGCTGGATATAATGATGAACCTGACAAAAAGTGATAGTTGGCTCAAGGAAGCAAGAAAAGTGTAATCCATTTTACAAAGAAAACACATCACTTATTCAACAAACAACATTTAATGAGCACCAATGCATGGTGGTAGTTCCTGGAGATATAATAATAAATAAGACACAGTTCCTGACTTTCAGAAGCTAACATCCTAATGCAAGAATCAGACCACTGAGCAGACAAATGATAATACAATTTCACACGTGCAATGACAGAGCTATACCCAGGGTGCTTACCATAAACAGCAGACGAACTTCAGGAACACAGCTGGGGCTATTCTGGTGCAAACGTCAGGAGAGTGCTGGTGTCATAGCCCAGCTAATAAGGAATGTCCAGAGGAGGCTCACTGCTCACCTAGGTCTCATCTCTCATCATCACCCTTCTAATGCTCTTTCTTGCCTCTGAGCTTTTGTAAATACTATTCTACTACCTGGAACATCTTCCCCTCTCCCATTACTTCAGTTGGCTAACTCCAGTACACCGCTAGGCCTCTGATTAGAAGGTCTCTGATTAGAAGTCACTTTCTCCAGTGATTCCTCCTACGTTTGAGGTACTTATTGCTCCTAAGAGCTCCTCTAGCACCTTAGGCATCTCCTAAATCTAGTATTTATTACATTCTATTGCAAGCATCTGCTTACTTGACAATTCCCCACTAGACAAAAAACTCAATGAAGACAGTAAGTATGACTACCTTCTCCATTGGCCAGCAGCGTATGGCCGTAAGTATGTGCTCGACAAATACTTGTTGAATCAACAAATAAATACATAAAACATAAACAAGGTCTTAATATTATCTTTGGTTTTGGAATAATAAAAATAAAAGTAATACCAGTCAGCAGTATTTGGTGGGGCTTTGGAGTCAGACCACTTATGTTTCAATCCCAGTTCTGAACTTACTGACTGTGTAATCTTGGGCAATTTACCAAACCTCTCTGTGCCAGGCTCCTTTATCTATATGTGGGGATAATAACAGTAGCGCCTTCATGGGAGGTTGTAAGGATTAAATGAGACACTATGAATAAAGGGGCTGGGTACAGTGCCTAGCATATAGTAGCTCTCAATAAATGTTCGTTATTATCTCATCATGGGCTTCCAAAAGTGTATTTTTTTCTGTGAAAAAAGGCTTCATTCGAGGAATCCTGCATATACTTTTCCTGTCAGAAAGGCACAGTGAGGTGGGCACAGTGGCTCACGCCTGTAATCCCAGAACTTTAGGAGGCCGAGGAGGGGGCAGATCACTTGAGCTCAGAAGTTTGAGACCACCTTGGGCAACATGGCGAAACACCAACTCTACAAAAAATACAAAAATTAGCTGGGCGTGGTGGCTCATGCCTGTAGTCCCAACTACTTGGGAGGCTGAGGTGGGAGGATCACTTGAGCCAGGGAGGCAGAGGTTGCAGTGAGCCAAGATCATGCCACTGCACTCTGCCTGGGCGACAGAGCCAGACCCTGTCTCAAAAAAAAAAAAAAAAAGAAAAAAGAAAAAGAAAAAGAAAAAAGGAAGGGAGGGAGGGAGGAGAGGGGAGGAGAGGGAGGGAGGGAGGGCACAGTGAGCATGAGAATAGAGTTCTGAGTTAAAAGCCATCTGTTTCACTGGGTGTCACTCAGCAGTTTCTTTTTGACAGCCGAACCCTCGTTAAAATCCTGCAGTGGTCTCTAGATAACAAAAGCTTTATTTACTGTTCACTTCTGCAGGGGAAGGCAATCCTAGCTTTGAGTCCCTCTTGGTCTCTACTGGCCACTCCCAGGAGCTGGTGCCATCTAATGCTATGGAATGTCTAGCAGTGCCCTTGTCTTTAAAGATGTGAACATGTTTTCATGAGAGGGAACCGCTATGACTAATAAGACAAATAAGAGAATAACCCCTTATGTTTGTATCATGTTTTAAAGTGTAGGGAGCACTTCAAGGCAATCACTCCCTCATCCTCATGACAATCCATGTAGGGCCGACAGTTCAAGTACTATCATCTCTATTGAACAGATGAGGAAACACGGGCTTAAAGAAGTTAGGTGGCCTGCTCAACTTGCAATGCTGGTCAGTGGTAGGCTAGGACTAGACCCTAAGTCTGAGTGGCTCCATGGCCTCTGCTCTATCTTCTGTACTGTGCAGCTTCTGCCAATGCCCACAGGCCCAAGCCTCACATAACTCAGGGTCGAATGATACAACCTGAAGCTCAGGGACTAAGCTAACTTCTTATCAAGAGTCTCTAGGAAGAAGCCTCTGGTCTCTCAGCTTCCTCTCACTGAAGACTCTACACAAATTAAAACCCTGCTGAGACATCACAGAACCAGTTAGAAGCAGAGCACTTGCCCCTTCTTGCCACTGCTCAGGAATGGCATCTACAATGTGTGTGTATGTGAGGGAGTTGTCTACAACCCACCAGAAAGGTCTCCGACTTTCCAACTTGGATCAGTTACTTCATCTCATCATTTTCATCTTTTCCACCATCATTCAAACTAAAAAAAAGCGTAAAGAGCTTCAGCATGAAGTGTATTCCAATTACTTTATTTATTTTTTTGAGATGGAGTCTCACTCTTGACACCCAGGCTGGAGTGCAATGGCACAATTTGGCTCACCAACCTCTGCCTCCCGGGTTCAAGTGATTCTCCTGCCTCAGCCTCCTGAGTAGCTGGGATTACAGGCATGTGCCACCATGCCCAGCTAATTTTGTATTTTTAGTAGAGATGGGGTTTCACCACATTAGCCAGGCTGGTCTTGAACTC